AGCAGTGGTGAGAGAGGGCATCCTTGTCTGGTACCACATTTCAAGGGGAATGCTTCCAGTTTTTGCCCATTCAGTATGATATTGGCTGTTGGTTTGTCATAAATAGCTTTTATTATATTGAGATACGTTCCATTGATACCTAGCTTATTGAGGGTTTTTAGCATAGTCCATAGTTTTTAACCTCACTACCTAATTCCCAAAATAAAACCTCAAAACTCATATTTCAATCTGGAATATAGTTGTATCAACTGAAGGCCATTTGGATACTGGCATTTTAATTCTGATACCTGCAAAGAAAACATTAAAAGATGTCAGACACAGGGACTCACCATAAATAAATCTGGGTTGAGCAGGACTGGCTCTTCCATGACGCCTTCCTATCTGCTGAGCTTGTGAGAATCTGAAAACGGGCCAAAGCCAGGGACAAAGTGAGACCAAATCCCTGAGTTGCACTGTGACCTTGAGTGCATTCCACAGCTCAGTGTAAAACATCCTTGATTATCTCTTCTGCCGTGTCATCTATCCTTGATTTTCTATCAATAGGAATAATCAATGATGACTGGATTGAATGACACAGAAGCAAATGAATCATTTGTCCTGCAGGACTGTAACCAGCAAACAGCCTTGTATTTAGTGATATTTGGGCCAGTATTTACTTATTTATCTCATATCTGTTTTGTCTGTGATTAATTTCACTATGAAGGTTGTTACCGAGAAAGCTAATGTTTTGAATTTTCAAGATTTCATTGTAAGAAATCTGTTCCAAAAAAGAGAAAAAGAAAAAGAAATCTGTTCAAGGGAAGGCCAAGTCTTTGGGCAGAATGACCAAATGCTCCTAAACCTCAAGTCTGCAAACCTTATTTTAAAAATTAGAGTCTTGATCTTTTTAGCTAAACGTTCCCATTCTATAGGTCTTGTGGGAGTGTCCTGGAATCAAACTGGGGGACTAAATGTAGGCAGAGATCCAGGAACACACATTGAGAAACAGTTCTAAGATACTCACATTTCATTCAAGGGGCATATATAAGCATCACTGGCTAGCTAGAGGCTTTTCCTTTATTATTTTTCTTTCCGACCGACAGGGATAAAGAATAGCCCTTGCTGACCCTACATGCTGAGAAGGAACTGCACAAGCCTCCAAAAAACCACTTTTTGGGGGGTATGTTTTAGTACAAAAAATGGACCAAAGTGAAGAAGCCTTAGTTGTAGAGAACTCCAGAGGGTTGAAGTGGAGGAGGGTTGAGAACAAAGGTGTCCTTATGGGCCAGGAGAGGACACCCTGGCCCATGCCTTTCTTAAGGACAAAGCATGTGCTGGGCACTGTCAGCATGGAGTCCATAAATGCAGACGAAGCAGTCACACAACTCAAAGTCCTTTAGCATTTAGAGACAGTTCTGTTTTTAGTCAAATATACAAGTCAGCATATCTTCCGAATGCTGCCAGCAAATGCCAACTCTCTGGCTGGCTGCCACGCTTCTCCAAGGTAACATGCTCTGTGTGCAGGGC